TTTCCATTCCAGGCTGACCACCCTGGCCCCCACCCCTGGATTCCTTTCTGGGACATAACTAGTTTTCTTGACTACACATGATTTCTCCGGTTGTTAATTAGGAATCTATCACCCATTCACTACCATTACAGGCAGATGTGCTTTTATTTTGACTTGCCTGAAATTTTATAGGTAGAAATAGGAAAGTGACTCTTGTCAACACTTCCCCTCCACCTGCCTCACTAGAAAGATATACACACACATATATTCTTTTAAAAATTTTTTTAAATTTATTTGAGAGAGACTTTTTGTTCCACTTATTTATGCATTCATCAGTTGATTCTTATACGTGCCCTGACCGGGGATCAAACCTGCCACCTCGGAGTATCAGGATGACACTCTAACTAACTGAGCCACCTGGTCAGGGCCACACATACCTCCTTAAAATTTCCTATTTGCTCTGGGCAAAGACTTAAGATGCTGAGGAATACTGAGTAGATTATGAAAGCATTTTCTTTAAATAAACAAGATTTAACCAAAATAGTAAACCATGGGGGATGGAGAAAAGCATTTTTTATTATTTGAAGTGGCCTCATGTCAAAATGGAATGTGTTTATATACCACGTTCTTAGATGGATGTTTCCAGATCCTTAATAGAAGGTTTGGTGAATGAAATTACTCTTTTAAGAACTCTTGTTGTTGTTGTTATTGTTGTTATTGTTGTCGAGACCGATAACCCAGAAGCTTCGTTCACTGGAGCCTAAGCAGCCACAGCTACCACTGCCCTAGGATCCGTGGAATGTTTTTAGATTTGCTGAAACACAGCTTCAGGGCTAATGTGATAATAACCAAACATTCTGGATTCTGTTCAGAGCCTCAGAATTTAATTAATATTGCAAAGCTCTAAGCATCATATAACTTGCTTATTCTCATCTTGAAGCAATTATCATAAAATTTCACCTTCACTGCATTTAAGGCTAAGTATATACACATATTTGCATGTAGCCGATCACATTTTTCATTTTTATTGTACAATATTTTATTCATACAAATGGATTATATGTACATATATAAAACATACGTTAGTTAAAGCCATTTGTGTGTCTAGCACCCAACCTAAGAAATAAAATATTACTAATTGCTAAATAAATCCTCAACTTCCCACTAGATTCTAAATATTCCCCCCTTATTCTTTAGTTTTATCCTGCATAGTATAAAACCCACTATTGTTTAGATGACATGTTTTTAAAATGTTCTAGAAGTGGCATCTTGCTATATTTTGCATATTTTGTTCAGTATTGTTTGTGTCTTTTATCCCTGCTGGTGCTCACAGCTAAAGTTCATGTATCCTAAGGGTAGTATGATCTTCCATAATACGAATGCACCACGGTCTATGAATTCATTATGCTATTTTTTCAGGTATTTTTGCACTCATAAACGATGCTGCTATGAACATTTTGCTCATGTCTTCTGACACACATGAGCAGAAGTTTCCCTAGGGTGAAATTATTGGGAAATATGGCATGTGCACCTTCAATTTTGCTGAGATGCCAATTTGTTCAGCAAAATAATTATATAAATTTACATATACACAATTAATGTGTAAGAAAACCAAAAGTCCTGGCACAATTTTTGACTCGATTTCATAATCCACATCTAATCTGGTAACAAATCTTATCAGTTCTGCTTTCAAAATATATCCAGAATCCAATCTATTTTTGCTATTACTTCCTACTCACACACACTGGCTTAAGCCTCCACCTTCCTGGGTCCAGATTGGAGACACTCTGCTCCCTCCCTCCCACACTATCCCCTCATTTAACCCCATTCTTTCTCCTGAGTTATGAGCAATATCTTCTGTTTTGGCTTCCTTGTTTCCACTTTTGCATCCCAAAGAGAATATTTTCCATTCTGTAGCTAGAGAGATCCTTTAAAACTTCAATTCAGATCACTTTATTTTCTTGTTCAAAATTCTACAAATTTGGTTGCCTACGTGTCCTTGGCCAAAACCAATGGTGTGGCACAATACCCATTTATCACACTGCCTACGCCGTGGCTGCTTGTTCAGTGTCCCTGAGCTTCCCTGGCTTCCTGTCACTTTTCATGTCAGGCAAGCTTGACCTCCCAGATGTTTTGCTGATTATTTCCTCTGCCTGGAAATGTACCTCCCACTCTTTACCCAGACCTCCCCATAGCACTTTCTAACTTCCTTCACGTACTTACTTAAATTACCACTTTCTCAGAGAAGACTTTCCTGACTCCTTATTTAAAATTACAATCCTGCTCCTAAGTTCCACCCCTCTTTCATGAGGATAGAAACTACGAGCTCTTTTGTTTCTGCCATATTCCTAATCCCTAAAACACATAGTAGAAGGAATACAAATAACAACTACAGTAATAATAGCCACTTATGTAGTGCTACTACTCTAGGTACGTCTAAGCAGACTGCGTAAATCAACTCATTTAATTCTCTCAAAAACCAATGTGGAGAAAGGACTTTCTATTCTGGCAATATAAAGAGTTTGTTTCCTCACCATAAAAAACAAGTATAAAGTTGAAAAATATGAACAAAAAAAAAACTATTCCATCACACTGGAAATCAATCAAAGCCCTGGCTGGAGAATGGCTGAGAAACCAGCTTTGTTGCCACAGTTGATAGACTCACTTTGGAACTTGAAGGGAGGGCAATGGCCCCTGGTTTCTCCTACATGAAGTGGGAAATTAAGTTGAGAAAAAGTGGGGAAAACCCACAGCTTTTGAAGCCTGGTGTTGTGGTCCCGATTTGGGGTAAGTAGTGGAGCAGCAGGATTCAACAGAAAAATCCCTGCAACCAGAGGCCCCACTAGGCTGAGCTAGCCCTCCACACACCCCGGCTGCATGAGAACCTGTACGTGCCTGGGAGACACTTTGAAAGAGTCTTCCTGCACTAGCTGGATTCTGCAAAACAGTGGTAAAAGCAGTCATTCTGGTATTCTTGAGTTTCAAGGACATATTTTAAATTTTATTAAGTGCAAAGTTTGCATTTTTAAACTTTTTTAGTATCAAAGATAGTTTTCTAAGGCTTTTGTGTTATTTGGTAAAAAGGAAACACTACTACGATTAACTTTACTATATCTACTGTTAAATATGCATTTACAACTTTCTAACTAATTAGACTTATGGGGCTGGGAAAACAGGAATTACTAATTCAGATAAAAGCATTAATCAGTATTTCTTTTATTTTTTTAATAGCAGAGGTGGAGGAATAATAAGATATCATATCGGATTAATTAACTACTTAACTAAGCAAATATTTGCAGAGTGTCTCTTACATGCCTAGCACTATGCTAATTGCTGAAGATACACTGGACAACACAGTCGACCACAGGTGCCAGACACAAGGCCTGCAGGCGAACCCAGCCCTCCACCTTGTTTCATCCAGCCTGGCACCTTGTTTCTACCCAGCGGCCGTGCCCAGCTCCTTGCCCCTAGTTAAGGAGTAGTTACACTTATACAGTGCTAAAACTACATTTGGCCCTCTGAAGGCAACCGCAAGGCTGATGTGGCCCCTGGTGAAAATGAGTTTGACACCCCTGCAGAGTAGACCATGTCCAACTTTTATGGGCCACAGATTCCTATGTGGAAGACATGATAAATAAGGAAAGGAATCAGCAAATATCATTGATTATTGATTACTGGTGTCACTCTGAAGTGTGACTAAACTGTGCTCTAATAGGGAAAAAGAAGACAGAGGACATACCTCACTTTCAGTGGCCGAGGGGGGTTTCCCTGGGGGCTGCCCAGCATGGGGCTTTGGAGAGCTGTACTCAAACAGAAAGAATGGATTCTGGCTCTTTCATCTACTGATTGTGAGATTTGGGGCAGGTCACAAAACTGTTCTCTGCTTTGATCTCTTTATTGGTAAAATGGGAATAGTAATAGTATATAACTTGTAAGATCCATGTGAGAATTAAGTAAAATGAGTACTGTATTTTTTCAGACCATAAGACGCACCTAGGTTTTAGAGGGGGAAACATTTGAAGCAAAAAATGTGGTAAAATGAAATAACATAACATTTCACCAATGTAAATGTAAACAGAAATCAACAGCCATTATTCCTCCCAAATAACAACCATTATTCCTCCCAAATTTGGTGGTGGGGGGAGTGCATCTTGTAGTCCGAAAAATATGGTAATTAAATGCTGTGTTTTTCAAATTAAAAAATAAAACAGGCCTTCCAGCCAAGAAAGATTCAGCCTTGCAAAGAGATCCAAGAGAATTCCTGGCTGAAAAGGCAATCAGCGCAAAAAACCTATGTATTTTAAAAAGTCAGAAGTCCACTGTGCAGGGAGTGTGGAGCACGGGCGTGACAGGGCCATAGGAGGGAGTGTGAGAAGGCAGGGGCCAGACTTGGAATTTGAAAGCTGGTTTCCTGCATGAAAGTTAATGATGGATACTAAGTCACATGCTCTGTAAATGAAACAGACGAATTTACTTGAATCAGAAAATATGTCAACAGTAACTAGAGCTAGCTTCGCGTTTGTTTTCCCTGGTTGTAAATTACAGATGCCTTCTCCAACTCATGAAACTGTCAGCCAAGAAAGGAACTTAGTAAAATTAAAAGAAGAAAAAAACAAAAACAAAAATCTCAGGCACCCAAATCTCTGACACTAGGTGTTAACATTCCTAAGGCCTACAGCAACAAAAAAGCTACCTGCAAAGCCTAAAACGCAGGCTCAGAGGTACCTCTGGAAATAAGCAGGGGGCTAATATGCCACGTAAAGTCTGTCACCAGTTTATTGTCCCAGCCTTTCTATCCCCTTCACTGACACCCACTGAGACATACTTCTGTGGCCCATGAGGCCGAAACCGAGCAGAATCTCCTTTTCTTTAACAGATAAACCCATTTTCTTAGGAATAATCCAAGGGTAGCTAAACTCCAAATTCTACCAAGGGCTTGAATATTTTCTAAAAGAACAAATCTAGGAGGAAAAAGCCCAGCATCTCAGAGGATGGCAGCAGGGCTTCGTAAACAGCTCTACCTTGTGCAGCCAGCTCTTTCCATCTCTCCTTGTTCTGCTGGATGATGTCTACCAGGTTGTTCTTGAAGCTCTTCAGGTCCACACTTGCAAGGGAGTAGTCTGGGGAGTAGGTTCCATCGTTCACGGTGCCTTTCACATTCGATCGCCTAAACAGATCAGCAGCGTAAACCCATAATGGTACTTGAGCTAACAGTAACAACCAAACCAACCAGAAAATACCAAGGTCATGATGTGGGGTGAGAGAGCAAAGCCTGAAACACTTTATAAAACCAACTGGGGAATCCGGATGGCAGATACTCAGGCCTCGTTTCAAGCACATGTCAGTGTTACTCACCTGCCTCCTTTCCTTGCTTCGTGGAGAGCCAGGGACTCTGTCAAGGATGCTCTGGGTCTGTCAGAGACTCTCAGAGCAGCAGGTGGGGATGCTCATGTTTTAGAGGGTGGAGGGGCCTTAGGAGAGCAACAGAACCTTGGGGCGACCTCACTTACTAGCGAGTCCATTAATGAACATCACCAAAGAGGCATCACACTTCTGGAGCCCAAAGTGGGCAATGCCACCTGCTCCTTCTTCCGTCACCGTGCAACCTCCAGGCTGACCTGGATCTTCCTCAGGTAGAAATTTCCTCAGTTTTCTCATTAGGGCAACATTTAGGGTGCCTGTCAGTGTGCTACTAGGAAGGGTTGTATGTTTAGATGGGTAAGAATTCAGCATGACTTTTCTGAAACTGGAAGTTTTAGTAATTTCCCTTAGCGAATTTATTGATGAACTATCAAGTTTAAGATAATGTAAGTTGCATATATAATGGACATGTTATTTATATTCATTGTATTCATATTATTTTAAAGGATAACTTTGATAAAGATAGCTTTCTATAGATATAAATGGTTGTGATTGATTTGTTTGTAAGCAAAATAAAACAACCAGATATGTTACTATGTCCAGGAAATAGTGCCTACATCTTCAACAAAAATTCAAATAATTTTATTCTTCTTGGTAGTGAATACTATCTGGCATACACCTTAATACTTTGAGATTTTTGCAACAGAAATCGGTTATTTCAAAGGCATATGCAATATAATACATGGCCACTAGGTGGCAATACTATCTAAAAATTCTTGAATTTTTCTGCCTAGATGTAAGAAATAATAATCATAAGTGAAAGTTTATGAAACATCACAAAGATAAAAAATAAAGCAAAAAAAATCAAACCTGCTTGCTCCATAAGAATTTTTGGTTTTTGAGTCTTCCTCTATAAGAGGAATAATAATTTTCTCTGTTGAGTCCGTCAGGAGAGAAAATGTTGGCTCTACTATGAAATCAATAAAACCTACAAAAGCAAACAAAGATAAATTCAAATGTTACAATTTACTGAACCCTGAAAATAGTAATAACAGAGAGTCTCTGATGCTCCTGATAGCAAGCATCAACTATATGGGTTTATTTACCCCTTGTGATGATTTTTATCCAATAACACAATCTACAAGGATGTTCCAATAGCTGCATAAAATATTCTCTGAAGCAGTGGAAGCGACTCAATTTAAGCTTGCTAACTCAAGTGTATTACCTTTCCCACTTACTATTCAGCGTCACACTATTTCCTGTTCACAATGAATTCACGTCTAATCAGATCAATGTATTTGGATTTCTGGATGAAAGGGATGATCACCCTTCCTGAAAAGTCTTCACCTGATTGTTGGATTTTGTTACTGACCAACCAGAAATAATATTTACGCTTCCAAAAAAGTGAAACTGAAGGTTTTTCTCAGGTAATAGGAAATCAACCACTTTTTCTCCCCCTCTGATTAGTCAGAGCTTTCTGCCAGTATGTTAATATTCCATATTGCTGTTTGTTATTCTCTGGGTATGAAGTGTTAGTTCACAGCGTGTGGGCGTGTTCTGTCAAATCAGCAAAGAGAACACTACCATCCCTGGGAGATAGCGTTAATCTCACCGCCTGGAGATGTCAGAACAAATAAAGACTTTTACATTTATAGTACTCATCAAGACAGAAAATGACACACAAGAGAATAGGGCAGTTACCACCCAGTGGAGTGGTAAGTGCTCTCCTAGGTGGAGGAGAATAGAAACTATTCTAAGCCTTTAGGTACATTCAACCCCCCAAGGTCCCAGGAGAGGTGGTGCTGGCAGTCCAGTGCTTACTGTCTGAAACCTGCCTGGGAGCAGTGGACTACCCTCTGAATACAGGAGAGTAACTAGAGGGAGGCTTTTTAGTTAATAGCATCTCGAGCAATATCCACACTTGAAGAGTGGCCCATCTGCCAGATGTTTGGATAAAATTAATTCACATTTCAGATAACTGGATTAGTCATAAAACACATTAAGGTACATTTTTAATTAAAAAAACTTTAATAGTTTTGTATATTAATTGGTGCCTCAAGGTCAAAGCAATGTTAATTGACCACCCAGGTACTACTTAATGTCCTGGCTATGCTTTTAAATGCCTGCAATATGGGCTGTCAAATAAGAGGTCATCTGTACTAACATAGCGGCAATTTTGATTACAGCCACAAGTCTCAGAAACTTCTGCTCCTCCCAGGTTGCCCGAGGAGGTCCTTAGCCTGCCACACTAACACCTGCACACAAATACTTGCGTTATGGTGTTTATAAAACCAGCTGTGGGGAATTGGGTGGGAAGGGGGAAAGGTCAGAGCAGGAAGCTTTCTTAGAGCTGACCCCATTGGTAGGAGGGGGAGCTGCAATGGCTGCAGAGGTGAGGCAGCCATCCAATACTGATGGAGCAATGCAGATGCTGGCCCAGGGAATGACTCTTACAAACATTTAAGCTGTGCAGCACAGCAATAATACATTTTAATAATGGGCTGCACTTGAAGTCTCCAACACAAATACAAATAAAAAGAATGAATATGGTGGGAAGTGGTATCATTTTACAGATTTCTTATTGTTAACTTATCTGTTCATATCATAAGAATTTTTTCCAAAAGGATATGAGTTAGCATATTAACATATTATGCAAGCTTAGTGATAACAGAACTGAAATATTGACATTTCCATTAAATTATTTCATATTCAAAAGATTACAGAAAACAATAATCAGCCACAAAAACGGCAAAAAATACTCTCTCTTCCACAAGATTAAAATCCTCTTTTTTTTTGTAAAGGGATTACAAACAGAATAATAATTTAATTTACTCATGCTGCTTTATTGAACTCGTTTTGAATGTTTTAATAAAGCCTACAATTTACATATAGATGTGTCTAAAGAACAAATTTATCATGACAATGGAATGAGGTTCTCATGGAAGTCACTGGTTTGAGCAGCACAGTGTGTCCATTTGAGAACTGCCAAGCACACACCCGCTCTCTGTGACCACCCACCTCCCTCATACCTATTTGTGACTGGGCCACCATAGTCGACTTCCGGTCACAGAGTGGGGAAAACGGAAGCCCTAACTCGGCTTCTTTATCTCCCTGCAAAAAGGAGAGCTCGTTAGTACACAGACTTGGTTTGGAGAAGCTCAGATAACAAACAGCCCAAAACCACAACTTTCATTTCTTAACTGGTACGGTGTATTTATTTATTTTGATAACACCAAAAGCTGTCATCTAAGTTTATATAATTCTATTCAGATGGTCTGCTTTGCGAACATATTCCAAAGGAAAAAAAGGACATTTTCAGCATGTGGAAACTCTGCTTTGCTGTACAACATCTCAATTATAGACACACCTTGCTCTTTGGAATTTTCTGAAGTTACCATAAAATAGTTATCTCAGTGTGTTATTTCACATTTAATTAACAACCCAGCTCACAAATTTTTCTGCTTTTTTTATTGTCCTGTGCCAAATACATCAGCAGATATTCCATATCAGGAATTCTTAATTACACTGCTTTTGGAAATTGACATTATATGAGCATTTTGAAACATCTTTCTACTTATTAACCCATTATATTTGAATCTTCCACAGCAAGTAGCAAAGGGGATCTTCACTCATGGTCAGGTTCAGAGGTCAGGAGACAAAGGCAGGTGCCTTCACTCTTGCTCGGCTGTGAAGTCTAGGTAACTGTTTAGCCGCTGTCTGGGGGCTCATAGCTTCCACTCACTCTGCTTCTCCAACATTTTCTCATTGTGACTTTTACGGCATCGTGTTAATACATTTTATTGGCTTTAATGTTTTATTGACTATATATTCTGGTGCATTTCCTCTAAACCATGCTTCTGATTATGAGGAGTGGGAAGTTTGATGTCATGATTGTTTGGGAAAATCTAGATATGGTCACCAAAAAAACAGCTACACACAGGAACATTTCACCATGCCAGGACTTAAAGCAAATAGGGAGTAGCCTTTCTGTGTCCTCTCCTATCCACTGTCCTCATTCCCCTAGGGAATAACAATATCCATTCCATTTGGAAGTCATGTTTATACCCAGCTTCATGGACAGACAAAAGGGAATTATTAGGACCATCAGCCTTGGAGTCCCAAGACACAGCATTGAATCACCGTTGTTCAGCTGGCTATTGTACTTTGCCATGTGTAATGCTCATTTTTTGCTCAAATTTTTGAGGGAAAAATAAGCATGTGCATTATACATGGTATAATGACTGCATGATCTCATGTATGATGCACACAAAGTGTGGAAGCCTATTATACACAGTAAAATGCAGTGTCTCTGGTACTTCAGATATTCCATAGCCTTGGTTAAAATTGGCTCTCCTCATCTGTTACCTGACTCACTAATTTTGTCCTACTCATTTTTGGAATAAAGATATACTAGTATCTACCAAATTGAATTATCCTGGGGTGACCTAAGCTACTGTACATGCCAACAAGCTCTTCATGGAGGTTGTGCTGTAATTTGTGATGTTTTAGGAGGCCATACATACTTTTAAAGATCAGTAACTTACTGAATACACATACGTTCTGAGGTATTGACTCACATAAGTGACTGGAGCAAAATTACAGGGCCCTAACGTCACTAAATGCAACTAATTAACCAATGACACTCACTTATACCCCCGGATCTCTGCCTCTGACCTGGGGGAGGAGCCTGCAGGTGTGAACATGGGAGAAACGACCCTGTCGGCATGGAGAAAAAGGAGGTGTGCTGTGCCCAGCCAGACAGCTCACACCTGTCTCTGCGATTCCTGGGGGGGTTGCTGAGATTTCTTCTCCAGAAGGCCCTGGCAACGTCCTAATCGTTGCCTTTATACTTTCGTGCTTAACAGCACGAAATGCTTTGATAGCTGTCAACAAGCTGTGGAAGCCAGAGACTTAATGACACATTGGTTTTCTTTTCTTGCACTGTTCTCTGATGTGGAACAGTTTCTATGGCTTTAAAGACATGCAGAAGGTAGGAAAAAGTAAAGTAGAAAATTTCAAGAAAGCTTTTTGCACTGAAACCTGAACTTTAATCCCAGAAGCAACGCCAACAACAAACAGGTGGGCCTTTGGCCGTAGGTTTGGGGGCCATGTAAGGTCAAACTCTATCTGACCTCAAAGACAACTTTCTACATTTCTATAGGGGAATTGAACTGAGATTTAAAAGGAGGGGCAGCTGCAATTGTTTGGTCTTCATTGAAGAACTTATTTAAGGAAAACAGGTCACCTAATTATCTTTCTGCATCCCTCCTGAAAAAGGCCTTTCTAAATTCTAAGAAAGTCACCAAAACTGTTTAAATGTTTAAAGATTATTATAGCTAACATTCATTTTCAGCTGAATTTGTAGGATTTAATAATATTTTTGTGAGTGTTATAGTTTACAAAGTATTGATATGCCTTGTATAATTGATATTTACATATTCATCCTTAAAACTATAAGCTTTGGTTTTTTAATTTTAAGTTATTATCCTGGCTCATAGCTTCAGTTCTTTACATTTATGAACATGTTTTGGTCGTATCTCTAAATTTGTGCTACTAGACCCATAGCTGAGAACATCCTAACTAAACTACATTTTTATAACTATAGAAAATACAGTTTATTTTGAAATAACACACTTTATACTATTTCTAGCAACACTGAAGAAAACCAAGGGGGCTAAGTATATACGATCTGGGATAAAACGATCATTTTGACCTTCCCTTCTCAATAACTTGCATTTCCAGCTTTTTTGTTTCTCCTTAGCTGAAAGGTAATGCCTATTGGTAAGTGTAAGTTTTATATGTATATTTATTATTTTTCATGTTTCACAAAGCAGCTATATGAAAAAGGAAAAAACCTCAGTCATTGCGTTCATTTACTATGAAGTATGAACAAATTTTAATGGCAGTGACTATTTTTTAACTTTAATTTTATTAACTTCTTCTTATCTTGCCAACCTACTATGTCTGTTCAAGAAGAGACTAAGAAGTAAAAACCTGCCTTCCTTGACTGATGGTTGTTTTCCTGGCTGGCACACATACAACTCTGATCTCTCAGTGAGATCGGCCACAGCTGAGATGAACGGAGCACTTTCCAAAGGCTCCCATTCCGGTCAGAAGGCAGGAGCAACGGTGTTGACCTGTGTGGACGCTCAGGGAGGGCATTAACTGTGTCGATGGTGACACAGGGGTGCTGTGAACATGCCTTGGGGACAAGGACCTGCTTTGTCTTCTTTACCATCAGCTGCTGACTCAAAAGTCAAAAGTAAGGGTTTCTCAAGACTGCAGATTCTGATACAATTCTGAACTCTTCTTGTACAGTTTGCTGTGACTTTAGAAAGTCTACCTGAAGTAGTTACACCAAGGGGTAACACTGATGGGATTTTAAAGGGTGATACAAACAGCTTGATCTACACTGGCTTGTCTTCTAAATTGGGACTACTATAATAAAACAATTAAAGAAAAGAAAATTAAAAAAATAAAATAAAGAAACAAATTGTTCATGTCTATTTAAGCCCTTTTGTTAAATAAAATAAACTTGGTAGACAAATTAATAAGAAATTGATTTAGAAGTCAACACATCCCAAAATTCCTCTGGATGTTTCCGAAAAAATAATTCATACCTATGTGTACGTAGACTTATACATATAGACTTACGAGTGTGTGTTTATGTGCACACACATACACACATAAATTTTGTTGTTGCTTTTGATTCTAAAAATCACTTCTTTCTCTTACTAGTTTTTTCTCTTTTTGAATTAATATCCAGTCTCTAATTTTGTTTAAAACCTACTGAATAAATTTCAAGTCTAAGAAATATTCCACAGAGCAAAGAAAAAAATACTCCTCTTTATTGGTTAACTTTTAAAACATGGTTGTGTTGGGAATGTGTTTTTTAAATTACAGCATGACCTTCAAAATTTGGCTTTTAGTAAGTATTTACTTATCTAAATACTCACTTAACTTACTTAATACTCAAATATTTTACTTACTTAAATGATATTTTGTAAAATAACAAAATATCAATGGCTCTGTAATACTTTGCCTGGAAAAAAAGCTTAAAGTACATTGCAAGAATAACAAATAATACAAATTCCTCGTATTTGTATTATGTCTGTAAGACCTCTCACATTTATTCTATCATTTGGTTCCTCACAACCATTCTGGGCGGAGGCAAAGTGGAATCAATACCATCTTATAGGTAAGAAGGTGAAGACTCATATTCCCTCTGCTGGAAAGATAGAAAGCTGGGGCTTAGACTTGGGTTTTCTGAAGCTAAGTCCAGTTATTTCTTACTTTGGAATGATCAGGCTTCTTATGCTTATTCAATACACATAAAATACTTCCTTTAATAAGAAACACAACATGTTTACATTTATACTGCAGCTGAGGGCAGTGACGAGTTCTGGGCGGCCTTGGCTGATTTGCCTCAAATTCTCTAGTGGATCACATGACACAGCATTTTGAGTTTTAGTACATTCCAAAGACAGGAAGGAATATATATTCAAATTGCTTTGTAAAAGTGCTATTTTGACACTCTGAGATAAAAACCCCAGTCACTGGGCTTCGTAGTGAGAAGGGATCTCTCAGCACTGTGGATTCTACAAAGTAAGAGTTTCTTTCACAAGCGGTGATCCAAGGGTGAGCAAGAATAAGAAAAAACATGGAAGAACTATTGCAGTCCCACCAATGTCTGTGCATAGATACACAGATCCAGTTAAATAGTTTATGTCAAATACACTCAGAGCAAAGCACACACCAGGGAGCTTCAGATTCATTGCTGCATCCACCTCCAAAGGGCTAAAATACGTGGTGTGGCTGAGAATACGCAAGGGTACTGAGAGACTCACTAGTTGACTGAATGTGCAAAGGCATTTTACCTGTGGGAGGCAAGGTCATATCTTAGCAAAAGTCTCATAAACTTGTTTTGATTGTAAAACAGGTTTGTTGGCAGTAGAAACTCATTCATTTTGACCTTTAACTCCACATTCTCCTGTTTTGCTATATACGCTTCTGAAGGGGATTTGAATGTCATTTACTTTTTAAAATCCATTTACTTTGAAAAATCCAGAAAAGCTATGAGATTCCAGCATTGAAAACTAAAATCTGTAATCAATTTATTGTGATCTGAGAGGATTTTTGTAGTTGAAGAAAAGACACACTGGTAGCAGAGATAGTTTGATTTTCTAACAGCCCATAGTAACATATACGCTTTCCTCTCCTTAGGGCGATAGGTATATTGCCAAGACATAGAAGCAAAGACTGTCATTTCTGAACACTTTGGGGTTACACAAATATCCATCATTGCTCACCAAGAGTCCTGTCAAAACAAAACAAAACAAAACAAAAACCTGATACCTCCTTTCTCTAAGTAGCACAATCTAAAAAATGTAGATCACAAAACCAAGCATCATGTTATTATACCTATTCTAAGACTTGACCTTTTGTGTTGGATATATTTTAAACATTAATATTCAGAGAGCTGAGTCACTGTTTACCAAGCCCTGAGAGTGACAGAGGAGCTAAGCAGCCTTATGGAAGCCTGCAATTTCTTTCCACCCTGAAATTCAGATGTCAAAAATCACCGCCCGCTGGAAGCTTCATTATTGGTATCTGTCATCTTTCTAGAAAATTCAAGAATAAGATGGAGTTCAAAAACATCTGCACTCAATTCCATTGAATTCATTACTATCATGATCCTGTCAGTTATTCTTTGTCTGGTTTGAAATCAATAAAAGACAGGAATAATACAAGTTATGCTATTATTTGGAGATCCATCTATAATTTTCAAGAGTCTCTGGGATTTAGTAGCGATATCTTTTTTTTAACACAGTGATTTTTTAGAGATTTTGAGGCATTAATGAAGTAATTTTATTCTTACATATTATTTTCTAAGTCAAGGAACAATTTATGTTCAAATCTTACCTATATTAGTTAGGAACACACTTGTGTAAATAACATTCAGTTAAGATATAAAAAAATTTCACTCTACCCTCCAAACAGAGAGTTCCGTTAATGTCTTCCAGTGAATCCCAGTCCGCACAGGCACCCATTGTTCGGACTTCAATCAGCATAGATTAATTTTGCCAGCTTTTTAACTTTATACAAATGGAATCATACAGTATGCATTTTTGGGGATTTATTGCTGCTTATATTTAGTGCAGTTTTTACTGTATGATATCCCACTGTGTGACTATACCATGATTTATTGGTCCATTCCTATCCTTGATGCACATTTGGACCATTTCTAATGTGGGTTATCATAACTACTACTGTTACAGCTACTCCCAACAAGATGCTTGGTGAGCAGAAGCACTAAGTTATCTGGGTTACACGCCTATGGACGAACATGCTTGTTCACAAGGGATGTTAAGCTGAACCTTCATAGATGCTAACCTGTAGTTTTCCAGATGGGCTGCAATGAGTTAGACTCCCATCGGCAATGCCTGACCCTTGCAGTTGTTCTAAGTAATACTTAATATTGTCAGTCTTTTTAGTTCTAACCATTCTAGTGAGGATTAACTGTATCTCATTGTGGTTTTAATTTATAGTTCCTTGATAAGTAATGATAATGATCATGCTTGAATATACTTACTACCCACGTGTATATTTTGTGACGTGTCTAATCAAATTGGGCTGATTTTCTTTTTATTATTGATTTGTAGATGTTCTTTATACATTCAGGGAACAAGCTCTTGGACAGCTATTTGTAGTACAAATAATGTTTTCTAGCTCTATGACTTGCTTTTCTTAATAGTATTTTTATAAGAGCAGAAGTTTTAAATTTTGCTTTTGGCCACTTTACCATTTTTTAATATGTAGTGCTTCATGTATTTCTACTCTAGCATTTACCTCTTAGTAGCAGAAAACAACTCTGATTTCCTTCCTTCCTTCCTTCCTTCCTTCCTTCCTTCCTTCCTTCCTTCCTTCCTTCCTTCCTTCCAATATCTGAGATTCAATATCTGGACTCTTTTTAACAAATGTACTGTACCATGTAGGGTTTTAAAATACATTTATCTGAAGGATTAATAAATTTTGCCTAAAGTCCAAGAACCCATTATGGCCATTCTCTATAGACATATATACGTCAATATGAATGGCCACTATTTCCAAAAACATTTGCAGAGTGTGAAAGATGCACCTGTCGGAAAAACTCCTCCATCAAGGCCATAGTCCACCGGTGGTGCAGCTGCCAGCACTTGGCTGGGTGGCTGATGTCCGCTGCGTGAAGAATCAGGGACATGGTTTTGGCCCTGTCAATCCTGTAAAAACCCAAGGACATACACAAATGATCAGAACAAGGTAAGCAGTTACAGTTCTCTCTGAGTCCAAACCCACAGAACTCTAACGTCACGAAAGAAAATAACCTACCCTTCAGGCTGCTGCAAATTGTTGCGTATATTTTTAATTTGCTGGAAGTGACCAGACATGTCTGTAGACAAAACCATTTCAACCACTAGGTTCCGAAGATCCCTGCAGAGCCATCGAGAGAAAAAAGGTTCATTTAGCCCTTTAACGTTCTCAAGAGGAGCCCTTCCTGAAATACTGCTGATTACATTTTATTTTTCTTAATAGGTATGAACACAAAAGAAGCTACTTTTAAAATATAAAGGCACTTTTAAAAGTTTACATCATTTTCCCTTTTAACATTAAGGATTTAGGAATTTGCCTGGAGAGCAATTTGTGAACTAGGCTGTTAGCCATCTCCTCTTAAAAAACTGGATACTCTCTCCTCCCATTGCTGCCATTGAGCCCACCCATAAATCCTAAACGCTGTGCTTCTGTCTGAAAGGATCCTCACCAGTTTTATAGAAAAACTATTACAAACACAGTAGATGCTGTTAACAAAATCCCTAATACTCAATGTTACAGTAGGCAGTCAGTTAGTTATTAATGAAAGCAAAGGGACCCAGACACCAGATTAACTAGGAAAGAACAGTTTCACAGTGAACCTGGGCATCAGAGTAGGTGAGAAAGATGTTTTTCAGTCACATTAGGGAGCAACTGGCACCATTCTGCTGGATTAACTGGGGCAGGGAGAAAACTGGGAAAGGAAATTCCTTTCATTAAGCACATGAGCCATAGGAACTGAATGACAGAGCAGAACTATGAGGCATATGCACACAGTAGGGGCCAAAATGGTAACCATAACACAGAGGAGTATAGTCTGGGGAACTTTGCAGAAAGATCAGATGGGATAAGGGAACAAAACCCCAGAAGATCCAGGAAAGGGCCTGAATGGGGGAAGGCACCAGCACAGGCTGGGGAAAGCTAGGAAGAAGTTTGAAAGAAAGCATGCACTTTTCTGAACCCAAGAAAATAAATGAAGACAGCAAGGACATCGAAGCAATCACAATTATAGCCTGCCCACTGTCTGCCTCTCCAACAGCGTACTACCACTTTTCACTCTAATAAAACTTGCCACAATCTTTTAAAATCCTCCTACACAGTGTCCCTGAAATTCCTTTCCTGCAACACCACAGAACAACCCTATTTCCTGACCATGAGGGAGAGACCCGCCTCCTTCCCAGACTGCCCTAGTCCTGGTCCTCCTCCCGTGGCATTTATACAGCATTTACTCAGTCCAGCAGTGTTCTGGGCATTTTTTAATCTTTGTAAAGACATTTAATCTTTGTAACAACACTGTGAGGGGGTATTATTATTTGCTACCACAGACGATCGAGTCCTTTGCTCAGTCACACAGGTAGTACAGAGCAGAGATAAGATCCACACCAAGAGTTCTGCTCCCAAGGCTGACTCTGGGAGCACTGCCCTGTGCCAGCCTTCCACCTTGGAACCCCCAAAAACTAAGATGCTAACATAAGTGGGGATTTTCAGTTTCAGCTTTCAAGACCCTGACCCTACATGTCATAAGCAGAGCTATCAGTACTACTGAAATATTAGCCGAGACATTGTAAATATGGGGGCCACATCACAAACCTATATGTGAATACCTCATTCTCACACTAAGTATGAAGTAAGCTGCCTCAGCTAGCTTGCATCTTCCACAGTCACGGCTTGCTCAGTACAGAGAGTGAAAATACAGGGGGTGGCAAAAGTAGGCTTACAGTTGTAAGTATGTGAAACACAGGATTTATTCTTGTATTATTATTATTTATTATTGTAATATTTTACATACAAGCAACTGTACTCATAAACATAGTTTTGCAACACCCTGTAGTCACTCATATTGGAAACCATATTTTATTCGAATTGTGTGGTGTGACCCGTAGAGTAAGTTACCTGAAGAAGGTATAATCAAACTACTTGTTTTAAAAAACAATTTTGTATAGGAGGTTCTTGCTGAAAATTATGGGTGTTCAATTCAGTTGTAGTTTTAGATGTGAGCCATGCTAGTTTAGAATACCTTTGGCTAAATATTAAGGGAAGAGAAATTATTAAAGATAATAAAGTTATTCTAAATTACATTTTTTCCACTGAAATTCTGAAGAGACCACTACAAGAGCAACTAACCCAATATATTTACATTAACTAAGGAAAAATGAGACTGAAGCTTTATAAAGTCTGTAAATCTAATAAAAACATTGTACTTTGTAGATAACTAATCAGTAAACACTAGATATTATCAGTAATCTACTAAAACACTTCAATAAACTAGAAAAAATAGTTCACAAGGGAAATGTTACTTTATTTATGAATTATTATTGCCAATATTTTAATATTGTTGCAATTGCAGTTACTAAAGGTACTTTAAGAAATAAACAGATATGCAAACAGAGAATATACAAGCCCTTAAAAACCTATCCATATTTTAACTCTTCATAAAATGTTAGGTTTATACTAACAAAATTATAGCTTTTTGGAAACTGTTGGATCTGTTAAATTCAACAATATTATAATGCATATAGTAATTGTAAAAAACAATTATATAAAAAATATTCAATTAGGATGACCAAGAAGTTACTATATGGGAATTTACAAAAAATACAGGAATAAAGTATTAGAATAAAATATTAAAGATGTTAAAGAATATTGTTTAATAGGAAGAGAATCAACTTTGAGAAGGAAAAGGTTTAATTCAAAGGAATAATAATAAAAATAATATAAATGTTAACTCTGTGAAATGAAAATCACTGTTGAAGAAATAAATGCTCTGTATGTAAATAGTCAAGTCGATCTTTCAGACCTTAGGAAATACCTCCAAACTTGCCTCACTGCTTCTACCTTTGCACTTCTACTGTCCAGCTAGCCCAGCATTGGTCACTTTTAAGTCTTTTTACAATTAGATCCTGGCTTTCCCAGGCTAGAAGCCCTCTTGGGCTATTGTTTTCTGCAGAATAAAAAAGCCTGAACTGGGTTCCCAAAACAAGATGTCTCCTCCCTTCCCCCTCCCCCACCCCTCTCCCAGCTCTCCATCTTACAGCTATTTCCAAGTTGCAAAAATAGCCTTGAACATCCAGGGCCATCAATATTTGGAAGAAGTAACCATGGGAAATCAGGACTCCTTTAAACCATAAATTAACCTTTCATTAATAATCGATCACTTTATTTATTTGAAGGCAATTCTTGATCACGGGTATTTTTTTTCCTTTGGACATTTCTCTGTGCCTTGATTTAAAGATTAAAAATAAACCATTGGGCATTTTGCATTTGAATGGGAAGCTTTTCTACCCATTAACCGACTTTTAACAAGAAAGGATTTTCTTCCTTCCTTCCTTCCTTCCTTCCTTCTTTCCATATATGTAGTTTCCATAAACTCTTAGGGATCTATTAACACTCAAAAATTCCTAAGTTTATTTGAAATTCATATTTAACTGGACGTTTTTTATTTTTATTTGCTAAATCTAGCAACCCTATAGTCAAATGAAGGGGAAGATGATAACGGAGCAATTAGGAAGAAAGGAGATAAAGTTGAGTTCAAGGTGCATCTGGTTATTTTTCCCCTACCTGGCAACAAGTATCTCCATTCCATGCAATTTCTTTAAAGAAGACAGATGCTTTGGAGAAACAGGTAAAATTTACTTCCGTACCTGGGCCATTTTAGTATATTTGTAATATTTTTCTTCATTTAGTGAATTCTTTGTTTTTTTAAAGCTAACCTCCACGCAAAGAAAAGTAATATATGAAGGAATTATTATGACATTAATATTTTGAATTTATATAGGATTACATATTGATAGAATTGAGCAGAGTTACACTCCAGACAGTATAAAACTATGCATCTTAAAGTATTTGTTTCATGGTGTGTCATCTCATGGATCGGCTCTGATGTCTGTAGATGTCGAATTGGTCTGGAAGTAATTCAACTCCATCTAACAGAGCTTGGCTCCTGAACAAAGTCTTCTAGGCACTTATCTCCTCAGAGTCATCCAGTCAAAGGAAATTAAGTTTGTTGTATTGCTACCATCTAGTTGTCTAGATATTAAGAGAGCAAAGGGAATTAGACATTGTGCTTAATAAACTGAGGAATATAAGCTTGTTTGCTTAGCCAGGAAGCTACCGCTTCACACCCCAGGGGATCACAGCATTTCTCCACAAAGGGAGTTGACACTCCCCCCTCCCCCTCCCACCTGCCTCCCATCTGGTACGGGATTGGCAGGGGCTGCTGGGGGAGGTGCTTCACTATAAAGACAAGTCAGTCTAGAGGGTAGACCACAGTAAGACCGCAAAAGCTTGGGATGTTGATTAGTTATTCCGGAAAAACCTCCGGGTTATAACCCCAGGGGAACAAAGAAGGTCTCGCTCTCTCTCTCACTCCGTGACCTGCACTTGCCCGTTCATTCCTGTGTTGTCTCTCACACCCAGGAACACACACACAATCATGTAGGCCAGCGGCAGACACACGGGCTCCTAACAACAAAGCCTTAATATGAAACAGCAACTCCGGAGCTGGCCTCTCCTTGGCCTTGCTGAAGACAAGGCTGGACTTTTTCCATCGTGGGATAGACAGTGATGGGACACGGGAAACCCAAGGCGCACCTTCGAATTCCACCTGAATAAACCTCCCCACAAGACCCCACCGCCCGTGCGGGTCCCTGGACTGCTTTCCCGGGGGTCCCATGGAGGTGCCTGATTTCTACCCACAACAGTGTGTGGAAGGCATTAACTTTCACCTGTTTTCTTCACCTTGTCACGTAATTTAACTTCTTCCTGAAATTAAATTTCCTCTAGGTTTCCCTTTAAACTCACCTCCAGTCATCTTTGGATAAATTTATCAAGACATTCATTTCTTCTTCTTGCATAAGCCGATAAGCTGCACTTACATGGTGATTTTCAAGGACAGATCGGTCATTATACAAAATGGCAACATCTGACCTAAGAATTAAAAAGAAAATGCCTAGTAGAGGATTTCTTTACACTTCATTAGTGCCTACTAACACATTCAAGTCACAGTACATCTCATCAGTAAAAACCCTATAATCAAACTCCTAAATTTATAGAAATACCTATTTTCCTTTTTTTCCACTATAGGAATTTTTAAAAATTCACTTTATTTTTAGAGCATTTTTAGATCCACAGCGAAATGGAGAAGAAGGCGCAAAGATCTGCCATACACCCCCTCGCCCCACATACGTGCAGCCTCACCCGCCATCAGCACCCTCCACCAGAGTGGCGCGTTTGCCACAATTGATGAATCTACCCTGACACCTGTTCGGCACCGCAGTCCACAGTTGCCTTTAGGGTTCACTCTTGGTGTCGTATATTCTATGGGTATGTACAAATGTATGATGACGTGTATCCATCACTATAGTATCATATAGAGTATTTTCACTACCCTAGAAACTCTCGGGGATTTGCCAATGCACCCTTCCCACCTCCTTAACCCCTGGCCACCACTGATCCTTTCACTGCCTCCAGTTTTGCCTTTCCACAGTGCCACATAGTGGAATCATATAGTGTGCAGCCTTTTTGTATTGCTTCTTTCACTTAGTAATATGCATTTAAGTTTCCTCTATTATTTCCATGGCGTCATAGCTCAATTCTTTTTAGTACTGAATAATGTTTCATTATCTGGATATATCATAGTTTATTTATCATCACTTATTGAAAGACATCTTGGTTGCTTTCAAGTTTTGGCTATTACGAATAAAGCTGCTATAAATATCTGTGTGCATGATTTTTGTGGACACAAGTATTCAAATCCTTTGGGTAAATGCAAAGCAACGGGATTGTTGGGTCATATGGTAGGAGTATGGTTAGTTTTACTAGAAACCATCAAACTCTTCCACAGTGGCTGTACCATTTTGCATCCTCCGGCAGTGTGCAAGGCTTTCTGCTGCTCTGTACCCTGGCCCACAGTGGCCGTCCTCGGTGTTCTGGATGTTGATGAGTCTAACAGGTGCAGCACAGTGTCTCATCATGATTGCAGTTTGCATTCCACGGAGGACAAAAGCAGCGTGGAGCTTCTTTCATATGCTCTTTGTGTCATCTGTGTGTCTTCTTTGGTGAGGTGTCTGTTAAGGCCCATTTTTTAAATCAGAATGTCTTCTTATTCAACTTTGTGTTTTAAGAGTTCCTTGTATATTTTGAATAGCAGTCTATTATCAAAAGTATCTTTTGTGAGGCAAACGTGGTAAGTACTACCCTGGAGAAAGCACTTGGAAGTATATTTTGTAAATATTTTCTCCCAGTCTGTGGCTTGTCTTCTAATTTCATATTGTCTTTCACATGTGAATAGCATAAGTTTTTAATTCTAAGAAAGTCGGGTTTACTTTTTTTTTTCTTAAATTGTGCCTTTTTAATTTAAATAGTCGTCATGACATCTAAGATCATGTAGATTTTCCCTATTATCTTGTAGGCATTTTTAGTTTTATGTTTTGCATTTAAGCTGATGATCCATTTTGAGTTTATTTTTGTGTAGAGGCATAAGGTCTGCATTTAGATTTTTTTTTTTTGCATGTGGATATCCTGTTGTTCCAGCACCACTGGCTGAGAGACTTTCTTTGCCCCATTGTGTTGCCTTTGCTCCTTTGTCAAAGGTCAGTTGTGTATTTAGGTGAGTTGTTTCAGGGTTCTCAATGCTGTTCCATTGACCTATTTGTCTATTCTTTGGCTAATACCACACTGTATTAATTATTATAGCTTTATTGTAAGCCTTAAAGTAGGACAGTGTTAATTTTTCAACTTTCTTCTTTTCCTTCAATGCTGTGTTGGCAATTCTGGGTCTTTTGCCTCTCACATAAACTTTAAATCTATTTATGATACCCACAAACTAACTTACTGGGTGTTTGGGGTTTCATTAAAGCTGTAAGTCAACTTGAGGACTGACATAGGGACAATATTGAGTCTTCCTGTCTATGAGTATCTACCTATCTGTGGGACCTGCCTATGAGTAGGTCCCAAGGTGCCTACTTTGAAGGGGATGGAGGCATCATTTGTCCTATGTAAAACATTTCTTGTATCTTGTATCTTTTAAATAAATGTCTCTACTTTTCATATTACATGGCTGGTTAACTTCTGGACAGGCCTCATATTATAAGCATTCTCATTTCTGTATAATGGATTCCTTGCTTCCTCATCACCCACTTAGTTTGCTGAATCATTGTCAAAGTGTGGAATGGGAGCAGAGCCACCATGTTCAATGTGCTAAAATGGTGTACTCAAGTCATAGAAGTTGGCAGTTGGAGGTAAGCAGCAAAAATAACAAAAGGAAAGTCAAGGCAAAACCTATAGCAATATTGTTACCACTTTCCCCAACCTCAGGCTCCTCTCACTTTTACCTTCCTCCTGGTAGACTCATACTCTGTCAGCACTAAAATTGCCTCATTAAGACTTAGTGTTTTGGGCTTTTTAGTGGGTAGAGTCTCCGTTATCACCTATTACTAACCCTGTCACTGAATGTTTACCAAAGAGTTGAGAAAGACAAATACCATTGAGAACTAAAGGAACCTGGCTCCTATTTGAGATGAACCATGCTCTATTATTACCCTAATATATGGGAAATGACCTATAATTTACCTTCTCTTTTGTTTTTAGAATTTCATAAAAGTAAACCAATATGTACTTAGCTAATTGTACATACCTCCAAAATACACTTTCTTTTAATAATTTCAGCTACTGCCTAAAAATTACTTATCCAATAATCAAAGCTCAGTACAAAGGAAATTAAACTAGCAAACCTTACATGCAATTTGTATTTAAGAGAGGATTAAATAGATATTGCCCCAGTATCTCTGGAAGTTTCCCAGGATCATGGGAAAAACTATAATTTGCAAATCAAATATCATTTGCATGGCCTCACATGTAGTCATGGAAGTTTTGCCAGGGCTGTTAAAACACATGCCTCCAAATATCACTCTTTCTGCCTTTCACCAGCAAGAAAATAATGCATTAAAATTTAAATTATAGCAAAGTATGTACAATTTTGTTTCATAAATTGAACAGGGTATTGAGAATACAGCATAGTTTTAGTGTTTGTGGTGGTCTTTGCTAAAAAAAGAACAAGACTCTAAGCAACATCCAGTATCCATGGTAACATGTAGCTCAGCATTTTCTTTTCACAAGAAAGTCATTATTTTCATTTATTTATATTTGTAAAGATTTCATGAATTATAATGTCTTTATTACACTTAAAATTATCCTAGCACTCTGTTTTAAATCATTTTTCAATCACTTCATATTATCCAGTGAGTAGGTTTCCATATTCAGAAAGCTAGTGCTTTCACAAGCCCTAGCTTTAGAGTGCTTTAGAAAGCACTCTAAATCCAACTAACAGTGAATAATATAAAATACAATAGAATCACTGATATCTGTGACATAAACACCTATTTCTCCTTAGATAAAATGTGAAGGTGATAGTGAGAGTTTTAAAAAAATATGTTATTTTGTCACATTTGTGGTAACTATAACATTTTGTTTGTAGAATTTTCAAGTTCTTGTAAAATTAAGCCATTTAATAATTGATCCTAGTAGAACATTTATAAGAAAAAAGTAAAATACTAGAAGTTCCCCCTTTACACAGTTTCTTAATACAAAAAATATGGGGGAATGTTTTCTTCCTCCTTCTCTTCCTCTCTCTTCTTTTTTCCATCTCCATGTCCCTCTCTGTAGTTCAAGGTACCAGTGAATTGGGACTCTTCGTTCAGTTGTAAGTCAACGGTAAAGAAGAAAAGCTGGAAGCCTGTGATACCACTGCTGGAGGACGGTCCATCACCTTCACTCTTCACAGTAGAAAGAGCAAGAAGTCTTTATTGGTACCAGATCACTCGCTCCCTTCTCCAACTTCCAAAGTTATTGTTCTGTATAGGACCAATTAAAGACAGCAATGAGTTGTCTTTAATTAAAATCCCACTCACTATGGTTTGGGGGGATGCAGAAGAGCCTTTGATAAGCAGAACTATCTGCATGGGTTACCTTTCCTTTGATGTTCTCCACAAACGAAAACAAAACAACTCTTTGTGCTCTGCAAACATTCCCTGCTGCACCAGCTCCAGGGGTTCCCTCTCTCCTTCATGCTCTCTCCATCTGGGGGACTGTGAAAATAAACAGGACACCTTCCCCAATATTTCACTGTTTGAATTTCATCTCTTCTTCTGCCTCCCTCGAGGGGCCATGATCTGTAAGCCCACCCATTTCAGCCTGTGAAGGGTTGGGACCACCATATATCTGTTTCTGGCCATGGAAGCAGAGTTGTGTAAGTAGACTGGATTGAGAGTGAACGTCCCTTTTAGCTTCTCAGTGGTGGTACTGCTGTCAGCTGACTCTGTATAAATAGATTATTTCACTGCTTGAGATCTTTGCATTTTCTTCTAAGACTCAGGTTTAGACCAGGTGATCCGTAATGTGAATATCAGCCACTTTAGGGTCCCTTGAAGCTATAAAAGGTTGAATATTTTATAAAAGTTGGTATGCTCTTCACATCAAAAGAGCAACTTTCCATAACTGGAAAATCAGTTGTTAGAAATTGGTATAAAAAAACAAATGAACACACCATATAAAACCTGCACACAAATGTTTATATCAGCTTTATCCATAAGTGCAAAGATTCAGAAGCGATCAAGATGTCCTTCAATAGGTAAATAAGTAAATAAACTCTGGTACATCCAGACAATGAAATATTATTCAGCAATGAAAATAAATGAGTTGTCAAGAGACATATGGGAACCTTAATCGCATATTACGAAGTGAAAGAAGCCAGTCTGAAAAGGCTTTATAGTGTATGGTTTTAACTATATGACATTTTAGAAAAGGCAAAACTACAGAGACATTAACAAGACCAGTAGTGGCTATGGGAAAAGGGGAGGGGAAGAGGGGAGAATTAAGATGTGAATGAAGCAAGGGGACTTTTAAGGCAGTGAAATGGTTGTGTGTATTACTGTAATGATGGATACATGGCATTACACATTTGTAAAACCCTTACAATGTATAACACAAGAAGTAAACCCTAATGTAAACTGTGGACTTCAGTTACTAATGATGTATCAATAATGGTTCACTGATTAATAAATGTACTCTGCAAGACAAAACTGTGGGCTGTGGGGAAGGAGCCTGTGGGCACTCTGTGCTCCCCGTTCAATTTTTCTGTAAACCGAAATCTGCTCTATGAAATCTATTAATTAAAAACTGAACAAATAAAAAATAACCAGGTTTAGTAATCCCTCAACAAAAATAAAGAGTTTTATAGTGGTTCCAGAAAGATGTCAGTCTCTCAACTTACATCTCCATCTGAAACATATCTGACGAGTGAAAGACACAAATTTCAGGATCCAATGATGGGCCTACAACCAAATTCTGCCTCCTGGGAAGGGAGACCTCTGTGCAACCAAACAAAATTCAGAGCACCTTCTTGTTATTGACTGATTTGCATTCCTGAAAATTGGCATGTTGAAGTTCTTGTACTTTATCACCCAGTACTTTCAAGTATGACTGTATTTGGAGATAAGGCCTTTCAAGAGATAACTGAGGTTAAATGGGGTCATAAGTGTTGGGTCCTCATCCAATATCACTAGTGTTCTTCTAGAAGGAAGAGGCAGACATCAGGGATGCTCACCCACAAAGGAATAGCCATGTGAGGACACAGTGAGAGGTGGCCATTTGCAAGCCAGCAAGAGAGGCCTCAGCAGAAAAAAAAACCACAAACTCTGTGATCTCAGCAGTGAGTCTCCAGAACTGTGACAAAATTTCTGTTACCTAAACCACCCAACCTGTCATGTTTGGGGATGGCCATCCTCATAGACTAATACTCTCCCACTCTGCTGTTTTGAATCTAATAACTGCCATTATCACCATTATTTTAAAATTTACACTTTCCAATTATTTTAAATTTAATACTTCATGCTCACCTGGAAGTATAATTTCTTTGATTTTTTTTCAGATTTTTTCAGAAGTGCAATATTAGTATGTATTTTCAAACGCATAATGGTATCAAACTAGCGCCTTCAACAACAAGTTGCAAGATTTGTCTCAATAAATAAATGTCCGTCTTGTGTGAGAGTTCAAAATGTAAATTCTGGGCATAGATAAATTATATTACACATCTTTATGTTCTTTAAATTGCTAAATATGCCACAAAGTATATACAACATTCTTGATAAATAATAGCTGATTGATGGAAGTGTTTATAGCTTAAGGAATTTCGCTAAAATTTATTAAACCTATTATTAGACATCTTCATTATTATTTTTAAGTCCTCTTAAACTAAATAGCATGCAGAAAATACATTTCAAGTTCTAACTTAGAAGAGTGAAGCTGGTACGCAGCTGACCTCGTCTGAATGTGGAAGTTATTGGTGGTCCCGGTGTGCTCGTAGTCATGGATGGCAGCGGCGAAGACCAGCGCTAAAATTTCCAGTTCCGTGAGCCAGTGCTGGGGAAGTAAAGCAAGAGTCCACCGTGTTTAGAAAGCAGAGGTCATGCTGTCTTTCTACAAAAACCAGTGCACCCAGTATGATTAATCATATAGAATTGTTTTGTTGATTTTAAACACATTTTCCTTTCTATCTCACCTCCACCGATTGTGCATAATAATGACTGCTTCATAACGCTGATTGTTTCATGAATAAATCCACAATCCAGACATTGTAATTTTCTTCGCTAATTTAAAAACAAGTTATTTCCTATGATTTAAATGTGAACCCTGACTGGATTTTGAATTCATAGCCTTACCAATTGGGGTTCTCATGAAGTTAATCACAGTCAAGTGAATGTTAACACATAGCTCATACATCAGTAAAATGTCTTTTAGCTCAATTTTTGTAGAAGAACCTTACTATGAGAAAATTTTCCATCTAAGAGTTTAAAATATTTACTTTGTTCATTAGAGGAACTGAACTTAGTTTTTATATCTAAATAAAGATTTAGAAGAGTTTCCAAGTATTTACCAAATTTGCTCTTTATAACACATACATTCTAAGGCTGTGTAATTAAACTTAATAACAATGAAAAATAAAGGCTTTCACATAACACACAGATCACCTGCTTCATATACATTGACCTGTTATCAATTAGATGGCTTACCAAAATTCTACACTGTTATAAGTCCATTTACATAATTCAGTAGTTTCCTTATCACTCACATTTTGCATAGCACTTTTAATGCACTGTCCAAAATAACCACATGTAACTACTTAATTTTAAAAAAGTAAAATTAAGTTCCCTTTAATAGCCACAGTAGCCACATTTCAACTGCTCAATAACCACATGTGACAAATGGTTCCCATGTAGAGTGGTACAGATACAAAGCATTTTTGTCATCATAGAAAGTCCTGTTGACACCTCTGCAATGCGGTGGCAGGAATGGAGGATCCAAAATGACACGAAGCCTGTTTTTAGTGGTCTTATTCCCCATACTTGAAATAATTAAAGACCTTGCAGAAAGCAACAACAAAAATATAGATAACAAACTATATGTATACTTCATAAAAGCTTACAAAATAAACATGCAGTGGAAGGGTAGATGGAATGTCTATGTTGAGGAAATGGATCTTGGAATTAAGATGGACAACAATTAGCAGCTAAACTTCAGGTTGGGAATGGAGAGATTTTAAATAGAAAGGTGAAATGAACAATGTTCTATAGAAGTCTACATGGAAATTGAATTGCCAATAGTACAGTTGTGTTGGAGAGTCAGTGACATGAGACTGAAAATTGTGTGGAGCCTGGGAAAGAGTTGATAGACTGCCTTGATTAGAGCAGATGAATTTGAATTTTGTATAAAAGGTAAGAGGGAGCCCTTGTAGGTCTGTGAGGAGGTGACAAGCATTGTGTCTCATAGGTGCCAGAGGCATGCTTTTATTAATCTTAGCTCCTTTCACATAAGCTATTATGGCATTTGGAATATAATAAAAACTTAATATTTCTGTGTTGAATTGAAGTACACCAGTCTTGCATTAGGAGGAAGTAGTAAGGAGTAGTGGGTGAAGATGTAAAGTCAGATAATTCTGGTTTTAAATCTGTTAGTCCTTAGGTAAATAAGTTATTTTTCCATCTCACCACAGTTTCCATGAAAATAAAATCAGTGATCATTCCTCTGTGGCTTTTAAAACTTTACATTAATGTATGTACTGTGCTTACTGCCAGACTTGTTATATAGTAAAATACAAAATAAATGAAATTTTACTAAACTTATTATCTTCAATACACTGTTTAAGTCATCAATGTGGAAAATAATAGTGAGCTAATATCTTTAGTGATTGTAGTTCAAGAATGAGCGCCTCATAAGTGGCTGACTGAGGAACAAAATATTTAGGACCAAAGGGGATTGATATAACTAGTCATTCTGTGTTTATAGGTGCATTTTATTGTGAGTCATTAAAAGGAAGAAAATGACCTTATTAAAGGCTTGTATTATAGGCTAAACTGGGACAGCATCTCCAATGTCTCCAGTGAGACTGTGGAATTAAGCACCATGAAATGAATAGCACTTGAAATTAAACCAGTTTTTGTACCCATTGTTTTTATTAAAAGAAATTTTTTCTAGAAAAAAAATCATACACTTAAGCATTTCTTATTGGTTATCCTTAAGATCTATAGATTTAACTGTGAGTTTTGAAAAAAGTAACATCTAATATTTACTACAATAATATAGGCCATGAAGCTGAAATTATAAAAGAAATAAATAGAAAATCAGAAATGTATATTAGTTATAGATTAGCTCATTAGTACTTAAAATTATCTTCCCAGTTGTCAACATGTGTTCCTGCTTTTGGTCTCATTAACCTCTGCTTCTCATAAACAGTATTTCCTCCATGAACCCCCTTATTTATTGTCACACTATATGCTACAATGTTAGTCTTAATAATAAATTTTATATCATAAAATTATTTGGCAGGAAAGAAGCATTGAGCTTTACCATTTAATTAAAAAATACATCTATTTTGTATTAGTGAAAGTAGAATTTTGAGCTTATTTTTAGCTTCTTAGTTGCAAATTTATTTTATGCTGGTGTCAAATGAGAATTCTAACTCAGAAATGAAGGCTTAAATTTATGGATTTGGTAAGTGATTCATGAGGACAAGCCAAGAAAATGTAGCTGAATCATATCACTCTTCCCAAACAGAATGGTGGTCAAGGTTCCACCGTCAGGTTCCTCTGATTTCTGATGATGCTAAAGGGTTAAAATGATGAGTAATAAGCAATACCACACTGCTTCATCTACACTGCAGGATGTGTTCTGCCTAGAGAAATGCCCAGGTGGTCTTCCTCTAAAACGGGAAGCCCTCAAATTATGTTATAGCAAACTATGGTGCCATTAATAGCATGTGAGATGATGACAGATGGGAACGGAAAAGAGCTAACTTAAATTAATGTTTTAATTAGATGGTTCATTTAATTTTTATAACTATCCTATATCCACTTACTAGGTAAGTCTATTTATCCCTTTTTGGCAGATAGCAAAGATAAATCCTAAAGAAGTAAATCAATATACCAAAGGTCACCTAGTTCTCAAGTGGCCGAGCAGTGATTCCAAACCAAATCTTTACAATTCCAAACTTTGTGCTCCTTCCACAGATCACAGTATTTCCCTACAGGTGACGACAACGTTCATTACTCGAGGAAGGCGATATGCTGAAAACATTCTTCTAAAGTTTCAAAGGCAGGATTTCTAGACTATTTAACTGGATATATTGATGAGTAAAAGCTGCTAGAGCTTTCAGATGTTATGAGGCTATTTTCTTAGCTGAATTACTCAGTGTGTGTGTGTGTGTGTGTGTGTGTGTGTGTGTGTGTGTGTGTGTAAAGAGAGAGAGAAAGTGTATGTATGTCTAGGGCTGCGATAATTTCAGGTCAGAAAATCACATTGACCTATTGATTCCTGGTGTGTCCAAAAGACCATAATAAACAACTTTTTAATCCTGAATTATAAGGCTGGACCCTTTTTTTCTCTATGCCTTCCATTCTTGCAATATAGTCTACAAAGCCATTTATAAGAATAAAATTTCCACATAGTTTGTAGAATAGAGATATAATGGCAAGATTTCTATTGCTTGATAGGAGAAAAATTGAGTCATTTCAGTGTGTGGGAGGCTGTTTCTGACTATAGCAAGTCGACTACAAATTCCTAAGGAAACATAGTTCAAGTCATCTCTTTTTCTTCTACTCCTAGTGTTCTTGAGAACACAATGCCAGGAGCCGGAAAGGCAAGTACATGTTCCCTGGCCAAGGTCCCAGTGATTTCCCATTCAGAGAGACTTCTGGAGGTGGTTTGGGAGCACTCAGGAAACCATTTGCTCTTCAGCAAATGGACTTAGCTGCCCACACCACTGTCACTGTGGCACAGGGTTGCAAACTAATGAAGGGACAAGAGAGGGCGGGCGAGAGAGGGTGTCCTAGCACCAGTCCTTTGCATTGCCAACTCCCAGGCCTCAGGGTGTCTGATGGCATTAACACATGGAAGGACAATAGCTTCATCACAATCCCTTTTAGGCAATAGTCCTCTGAATGTTTTGCAAGTGACAGGCTGCATTAGTCACTTGACAGTGTTGGGCTGCCACTGGAGTGCTCCATAAATGTCACACTGATAAGACCATTCTGAACCAGCAGGGCATCAACTCAACACTAAAGTCAGTGACATTCTAGAATGCTTTTTTGTTGTAAAGAACAATTTCATATATATGAAAATTAATACTCGCCTACCACTACTTCTTCCAGCTATACAAAAGTATTTTTTAAATAACTTTCCAAACACCTGCAAGCTGACAGTATGACCTAGTTTCGACAAAATAGTCAATAAATGTGTAAATTTACTTTGCCTTTTCTTTCACCATCCATCATGACATTTCTCATTACTCCCTTCAGTTTGAATGTATTTTAAATGAGATAAATTTATAAATTTAGTTTATTTATTTGGTTTAAATAAACACTGAGGGGGATAACATGAGTCTCCCACCAGACTATTTTTTTCAAAATGGCCAAAGTCAGGGATAAGCAAAGAGCCCACTGAAACTTTTTTGCCAAATGATAGTGAAATCATAAACAAATTTCCAAACCAAACTTGCTGAAGTAGAGTGAAGTTATATTTACAATTAGTAAGTCACCATCCCCTCAGAAAGGGACCGCGTAATCTTTGCTAATAACTTCAATTTTCTAGGAATCACATGAGCCTGTGAGCCTGGGACAAATTGCCTTAGTCTTCCAGAGAAGTTGGCATGGCTCGTTATAACCTGGAACAAATCGTCCTTGCAAGTCTGTGGGTAAATTCACACTGTGTATGTGAATTTCTCTATTTACCCACTAACATAACATCTTCAATGTCAAAATAGGGCACTTTTACTCAGCTCCCTTTACACTTGTGACCAAAAAAAGATGTACTTAAGTAAAAACATACTTTTAAAATTCTGGCTACTTCCCCCCCAGCTGAAATGACAGATACCTTATCATTATACTTCAGAATTTAAGCAGATCTGTTAAAATATCAAAGTACACATTGCTTTTCTATTCCATCTTGTTCTGAGAAAACTTAATCAGTCCAGTTTCCATTAAAGAGTAAATCTTAAATATTTCATTTTTCAGTTAAGTTTTTCAAAGCCAAAGTATTCAGAAAAAAAGGAAATGCCAAATATTCCATGTGTATACCACCTCACTACCAGGTTCAAGACCAAGGCCTTAGAAAGGAAAGAGTAAGCAGCTCTAACCAGAAAGATGTTAGAAAAACTTTTGTAAGTGTAACAGCATTTGCGGCTGTCACAGGACACTGTTTAGCACATTAAATGCCACAAACATCAAACCAAGTGAAGACAAATAGTTCAAGAAACAGCTGTGACAATAAAGTTCTGTTGGCCAAAAGAGCTTTAAAAGAATTTCAGTGTGTGAGTGTGTTTGTGTGTGTGCACATGCACACTTACCAGAAAGAGAAACAGGTATAAAGAAGGTTACACTTACTAAAATGAAATTACTTACACTTTTTAAAGTTATGTCTTTGAATGTTTGAGTTTCTACCTATTATTGGTAACCTTCATTTCCTCCTTTTAAGCGTCAAATAAGAACCCTGGAATGAATGGGGAACAAACTCAACCAAGGACCAAGCCCAGCTATGACTACACTTGTTCCAGCCCAATGGACGCATCAACACCTTCATTCAGTGGTGCTTGCTTATATGACTTAAAACAGGAAAACTCAAGGTATGAGGTTAACACCACGTATAGCTCAGCCTTCTAGAAAGTCACGAGAGGCTCATGCCACTGCATCAATGAAGGTTTTTGAGATTTCTGCCTCCCTCTGAACAGGACTGAACTCCAAATCAGGTTTCATTACTTTGCAATCTTGTCAAAAAAAAGGGCATTTTTTTATTGAATTGGCAGTTAAATGCCAAGAAAATTCTTTATTAAAATCCCAGCTGAGCTCCCAGCCATCAGCCCCTGTCAGCTGCCAGCTGTGTGAGTGAAACATCATGGCTGTCTTGCCTAATGATGTCCTCAGCTGGCTTCAGCCACATTCACCAGGGCTTGAATCACAGGGTAGACCCCAAATAAGAACCTTCTAACGAAGACCCTTGAGAGATGTTAATAAGTTACTGTTTCAAGTCACTAAGTTTTGGAGTGGTGTATTATGGAGCAAAGATAACTGAAACATGGGGCAGGAGTAGGGTCTGAGCTGAAAACGCTCATGGAGCTGTACCATTTTGGAGGCAAAGAAAGACGGAGAAAAAGATAATTTCTTTAGCCATCATGGGACTCTACTGGATGAACCACAGCAAATGTGTAGAAAATGACGCACTATAGTTTCTTGGGGAAAAATAAATAATCATGAGAATTTTCTGTATACAATAAAATTGTTGAATCATGTACTTGTTATAAGTTTTCAAGATCTTCAGGGCAACCTACTGTGTGTGGCTCTAGGGGCTTTGCTTGGCACCAGGTTGGAAACACAGCCTCTGCTTCGGAAAGATGAGTGTTAAGGATCTCTGGGCCCCCAGAGTACTAGCTACATAGTTGTGAGTACCAGAAACCCCTGCTACTTGAAAGAGTGTGACTTCTGAATTCTAAACAGGTAGGTAATACATATCATGGGGTTTGGTGGAACATTTTCTTTACATATGGTTTATCACTCTCCTTCAGCCTAGGTTGGTCATCCTAGGAGGAATCAAGGAGGTACTAAGATTTGTGGATCTCATAGGGGCTACACCCTTTGAACCCACCTCAGGTCGGAACCTTCAGAAGAGCTGCCTCTCTCTTTACCTCCTGGGAGTCTGCCTGAATTCTGAGACATTACAGAAACTCCAGGCAGTCTCATGGTTCCTATCATCTAGTCCTTATGTCCTAAGATTTGCCTTGGTGAATCATTTATCTACTTATTCATTGATTCATTGGGATTCAAAGAAGAGGAAGGAGAATTTAGAAAAATTCACATAATACTTTTAGGATTTTATTGTGGTTAGCAATGTATGTAAGAGAGAAAAGGCTGCTGAGGTCAGCTTGGAAGAATTTGAGAGAAAATCACTGTCTCTAACTTTTACTCAAAACACTTTTTCTCTTGGTCACTTGTTTTTTTCTTGGTTGATTGCTATAAAAAAGGGGATTTACAAACAAAAATGTTCTACAGATCAAATTTTGGAAAACTTACAATATATTTTAATTTGCCTCTGGATATCTTTTTCTTTCACTAAGTTAAAATACTTTTTAAAAATGTATATTATGGATAACTCATTAATCCTCAAAAATACAAGATTATTACTTATAATACTTCTATGGGCATTAAAGACATAATAAGAACTTAGGGGAATGTAGTTTGACGTTCCAAACTAACAAACTTCAGTACAAAGCCTTTCTTACCATGATACCTGTATGGAGCATTATGTAATGCACAGTTTGAGTGACATCAGCTGCGTGGATCAGATTGTGATAAGGATTTTTGTACTTGCTGTAACCAACTTCCAAAGCTTCTGCAAAGGCAATTAGGCAAGAAACAGGAATCTGCAGAAAGTAATAATTATGATTATATTTTAACAAAAGAGTAGCTCTAAAACAACACAAACACAATGGTTTTTGGGAGGAGACACAGTGAGTCAGATGTGGGCAGTAGTTTCCTGAATTACAACGTGCACTATTCTGAAAAAACGCTTCATCAAAATTTCCCAGTTAGAATTGGTGAAGTCTAGTTTTTCTATTTGTAATACAGGCATTAAAATAAATGACCTCTCAGTACCTTCCAGGTCTAAAAATATCATGAGTCCACAGGTAATGATGAAAGGTACAGCTGTGGAATGCTCAGAAAGGTGGATCAAGTCTGTTGTTTAAATGGCTCTCCATGAAATTAATTAGAAGCCCTTCCATTTAAGTTGAAGAAAAGCTGCTGATACAGGTTCATTCTGTGTCTCAGGAACACAGAAGATCATATTTCTTTGAAACATAAATTTCAATGTCTATTTGACTATTCTGTAACTCAGGGGCATGTCAGTATCTCATGTGAATTAGGTTATAATGATTGATGAAACCATTATATGACATAGTTATGTCAGGAAGTTGGGGGGATGGCTTTAGCATGTGATAAACTCATCCATCTAGTTCTGTGACCTGTCAACTAGAAACATTATAAAATCTATTGATTAATGACTCAATGTTCTGCATTTTCATTGTAATTCAGATAACAAATGCTAAGAGCATTTCACTTTTTTATTTCCTGTTTCTGACCTTGAAACGGTTGATAAGATCATATCTGGTAAACAGTTCATAAATCATAAACTTCAGACTATGTTCTCCACTTGCTTCATTTAAGGCAAATACATCAAAAGACCATTTATCCACTTCCTGTAGAAAAAGAGAAAACACTTTAGGCAGCAAATTCATATAGTTTTGTTTCTTTCTATGAAAAATTCTTGGAAAGATGAGGCATTCTACGTCCAGCAGGCCAAATTTCCATTCAGCACATTAGACTCCTCAGGGTCTGCTCTGACGGGGCCACTTAGTGTCTGCGGGTCCCTGCAGTGAGGCCCTAAGGTCTCATGTAGGGCTTAGATTTTCCCCCTAATCCCAAGGTTATCATATGATGCGATAAACCTGATAACACTTTAATACCTCTTAAATCTCTTTCCAAATTTGTGCCCCAAATTATTTCCCCAGAGTTGGCCTCACTTTGAGGTAGAAATGCAGGTTATGTAGGTGATGTTAATTGAAGGATAAAAAGGAAACAGCCCAAATTTCTCTTTCCCACCAATCCACCTGCTACAAGGCTTGAAATTTCATCATAGGAGTTAGTAATTTGGCTTACATTTTGGATATTTTTGTATCTCCTTTTAAAATGCAAATATCCTAGAGAAAGTATATACAACTTTTTTACTCATTCTAACCTTGGCTGATTCATTTATACTTTCCTCCAGGGAAAGACGGTAAGATAAAGGAAATGAGTCTTTTGACTGAGGAGGAGAATGGTAATTTTGGTATATCCCTACGGAAGTGGTCAGGCCTGCAGGAAACTGGTACTCTGGGAGAGTGCCCCTTGCTACTGTGCATGATTTTGCTTAAGGAAATTACAGGGCAAAATCTTGCAGGACAGTCAGTCCACAAAAAGGACTTGCAGCAAGTGATGCCAGTCCCATACATTCTAGGGAGGTTTTAATATAAAATTTGAGCTCCAACACTAAACTCACTGAAGTTAAGGGGGGGAAAAAAAACCTAAAGAAATACAGCAGAGTCAGTTCTAATTGATTACCAGAAACTATTAGCAAAGAAGGTCAGATTACCTACACTGAAGGTTTAGCACTGAATGGTAAGTGGAGAACCCTGAGGCTACGCACTAATTCTGAATCTGATCAGGCAATGTTTAGAGCTTCACTCATGTAACCTGTGTGTGTGGAGGCCCATTGTCTGTGCTGTAACACGCTGAAACTAAAGTGAAAACTTGAGAAAAGGCATTCAACAGTTCCACAAATATTTCTTTTGAAAAATGGTAATAACTTCAAATGGTATTTTTAATCACTTGGAAACACCAATGAAATGTTTCTTGAATTACTTAGTATACCCTTTGTTAAATTTCTTGCAGTTTGCCCTAATTTGATCCCTGAAACTTGCTTTTTCTGTCTGTTGACTTCAAATGCCTAAAAGTTCTGTTCGAAGGCATTTACCATCAGTAAAGCTCAAAGGAGGCCAACAAACCTTTTATCAAATTCCAAAGCCAACAAAGAATTGGTTCAGATTGTCACAGGCCGCTATTTTCAGTCCCCACTAGGGGTTTCCCACTGGGTAAAAGGTTAGTTTGCCATTTCTCGGGGATTTTCATCAACAATGATGATTACGTTTATAAACTAATACAGATGCTTGGCTTTTACATTGCCAGACTGAGAACAAATAAGATAAAGTAGCTCAGGAAGTAATAATTATTTAAGTAAAAATATTCTTTAGTAGCTCTTCCCTCAACTTGTTAGTTTATTTGTTTTTTCTATACTGTATTTCAGAAAGACATTTACATTTTCTCATGCCTAAATATTTTGTTAGATGGTTTCTAAGCAAAAGTTCTAAAAATAATAAAATAAGTAATACTCATATACTTTTCCATAGCTGATGGAATCAAAATCTCTCAAGAGCTGAAGAGTAACTAACATCCTATAATGTGACATTTCATTATATAATAAGTATATTAGGTTTAGAAACATAAATATAAAAAGCATCTAAGAAAAATAAACAACCATTTTAAATGAATGAGATTTAAATCTAATATGCAGCAGAGAAAAAACTACTTAAAAGGGATACAAAAAAGAAAATTAAAAGACAAAAGAAAGCAATATAAATTTAAGCTAGTGAAGTAGTTGAATGAATTTAAATTCTCTGTTAGTACAGGTAAGCCACTGTGAAACTTAAAGAAGAAAAAGTTGAAATTCCTCCATCTGTATGAAGTCATAGAAAGAAGAAGGGATGTTGAAGGATGAGCCTTCAAAATGCTTCTGTAGAAATAACACCTATGAACTGCACACACATACACAATGGACAGAAGTACATAAGCCAAAAAACCTTTCTCTTCCTTTTTGACTCTAGTTACTCCTAGTACACTAAAGTCCTTTAATATTGCAACTGGGCATCAGACTAGGGCAGGCGTAGGGAAAGCAGACAAGAAAGATGGATGATTTTGTTTTCTTTCTTAATTTTATCTTACTTTTCCTACTCTTTCAAACCTGAAATTCTAGACAATTTTCTTCCATATAAGTTTTATCTTTTAACTGTATTTGATGGAAACATCTTTTGATAATGCATTCAAATTTTCCATAAAATATACAAAAGAAAACATGTGCATTCTGACAAGTCCTGCTGCTGTCTTGAAATTGAACTCAAGATAAAGCATGCAGAAGAAAAAAATCACATGTGTGTACACACATGCATTTGCATTGATATAGTATTTTTAGTGTAAATCAATCCTCAAGTGTATGATGAGTCATAATTTGGAACACATAACATTTTGTAAGATGGTTAAAATATTTTTTACATACCAATATGTAAGTTGTAGCAAAAACCTATTCTCATTTTTCCCCAGCCATTTTAAGAAGAATTTTTAAAAGACTATTTTAAACACTAAAATAATGGAAATTATTTCACCTTTAATGTTACTATGACAGCTTCTGGATATGCCAAACCAACCATGTGATAGGACTTTCTGTACATCCTAAAAAACAAAAATAAGTATATATATGTATCATTACTCAAAGTTTTCAACTATTCCTTAAATATAAGGGAAAGATTACTTTTGATTAGTTCACCTTTTATCATTAATCACATGCTGCCTTTGTGACCACAATGGTAACCACAGTCACCCCTTCCTTAAGCATCTATAATGTAACACATGTTAAAATTACTTTTTGTACTCACAACCACTCTATCAGGTCAATGTAATTTTAGTTTCTAGGTAAAGGTATCTTTGCCATAACCACATCTTATTCACGGGGACTGTCCTTCATATGCAATGGCAGTACTTTCCAGCATGTCATCAGGCCACGGGCAGCAGAATATGCTTGTTTTGGGTGCATTTATGTGCCAGAATTTTCAGTCTGGAATTTGAATGTCATTAAAATATTTCTTTTACAGATTTTTTCCTACAACATAGAAATTATAGGAGGGAATGTATAGTATCATAAGAATTTGCACAGCTGTTTTTTAAAGTTAAAAATATCAGGAAAACAGTATTGACAAAAATTGCTTGAAGTTTGTTCACATTGTCATGTTAACACCATTTAAGAAAGATTATGCATAAATACAAAGTTATTTCCATTCTAGTAATAGCATAAGTAATGAAGATTTTTATTAATCAGGAATTTGTAGGATTTTCCCATTTTTTCATGGGCAACCAAGATGTCCATCAAAGAGCAAATATATAAATTCCCCCATTGAATTATATGAGAATACAATCAATGTGATACCCTAATGTGTAGAAATAGCAATAAGCTTTTATTCTTTGCATAGTTCCCTGACAAAGTCCTGAAAATAAAGAATTTAACTGATTATTAATTATGTACATTAACTTTTATATCATTAATCACAAGCAAACTGCATTCCTAGACTATATTGCTATAACTTCTCCTTGCAAAATGCCTAGAAAAAAAACATGATTACATTATTAATTTATATTAGGGTTCAATATAAGAAATAGTCATTTGGAAAATATTCTGCATCTTCTTTAAAACCACTCAGGAAGATGTTAACCTTTTGATTAATTTATATTATATTAAAAATTTATGACATATTACTTAATTTTTATGTAAAAGCTATCTTTTAAAAAAGATAATAATAGCCAAGTAATTCATCATGTTTTCCTTTTAAATCTTGACTTCTTGGAATATCAGAATTAAAATACTATTTATGTCTATCTCTATGCCAGGGTTTGTTGATAAAGCATCTCCCCATTTTATGATAGAGACATTATTTTCATGTTATATTTATTTGAAATCACTTTAAGTAATTTTTGGATGTGGGTAATCAGTTATAATAAAAAGATTATCCATATCCTTTACTCTGTTGGAAGATTTCAGAGAAGTTTATAAATAAATATACTATAGTAATTACTCCATTGAGATAGGATTAATTATCATAATCTTACAAGGCAAAGAAACTACTAATCATACCATAAAAGAGCCAGAAAATAATTATTGTCAATCATATTTATTAGGATTTCTTTTCTTTCATTTTTTCAGGAAACAAGTAGTCTTTTCCATCCATTTCTCTAGTCATTATTACAAAAAAAAAAAAAAACGTGGAAGTACAAAGGAAACGGAAGGATGATAGACAAAGGAAAAAAGGTCCATATAAAATCCATTAGGAAGAGGAAGTTTTAAAAAGTAACATTAAATCAGTTTGACTTAGTTGTGCAAAAGGCAGTATGATGTAGCGAAGAAAATATGGTGCTTTGAATAACAGGTTAGCCACTCACTAGCTGTGCGTGACCTTTGGAAAACTCTTTAATGTGGCTCATCTGTAAAATGTGAATCGTTATAAGATTTTTTGTGAAGAGTACATGATATGAATGCCTAGCATAATATAACCAGTACTCAATACAATAAAGTCATTATTATTATTATTAGCATTACTATTTTCATTACTTTGCAGCCAATACCATTGGCTCCAATTCCCAACATTCCTCCAGGCTCCCTGGGTGCAGTGGGAACTCTGGTATGATTAAGTTTCTTAGACTTAGTAGGTTAAGAAATAAACATCAGCATATATTCTCATTATATGGAATGTAAAGAATGCCAAAAAGAAAAATGATTCTCCCTCTAAACTGATAGAAATTATCCCATTATCATTTTCTAATCTTATTATTGGACATAAAATATTGAGATAACAAATTAGAAACAAGAAATTTGGATGACTTATCCTAGAATCAGAATGGTGGGAAAAATTAATATAGTAACCTCACACTTGAGTAAATAGTTGACATATTATAAATTGATGAAAAACAATGATGAATTTCCTAGGCTCTTACAGGTGGAAATAGAAGGGATTATTTTTTGAAAATTTTGACTATAGTTACAAAATATAATTGAACACTTACTGTGCTAGGGAACCGATTATTTAGTGGAGAACAAGAAAAAACATAGTTGCTACTTCCATGGGATTTCATCAGCGGTGAAGGGGAACAATGAATAAGAACAATAAATGTACAGTTACAGTGGGGAGTGCCACGAGGCAAAGCACTGGCTGGTGTTGAGAAAGTAATGAACAGTATACAGAGAGACCTGGAAAGGCCTCTGGAAAGGTGGAAAGGGCCAGCCAGAGGAAAGGGTGGAGAGAATCATTCACATGGAGGACATAGCAGGATTAAGGGTCTCAGGGAGGAAGGGAGCTTAGGAATGTTCATGGAGCTGAAATCAGACCGGTACAGGCATTCAGTCAAGAAGGTGAAAAAAAGGTGGAGTAGGGGGGTGAATCCTGTAAAGCCATGATATAGAAACTGCCATTAATGCCAAATAAAAAGCAAAACCATCAGATAATTTTAAGCTTGAGAGTGCCGGGAACTAAGTTATATTTTAAATCAGCACTGTAGAATGACATGTTTGGAGAAAGCGAGTTATTGTCATAGTTCTGATGGCAGGTGACGAAGGCTTCCATTGGAGATGCAGGAGTGGAGGGAGTGAACAGATTCAGGATGCATTTCGGTAAGTGAACTGCCAGGGCCTGCTGAGGTACTGAATCTCGGGAAAGATGCTTAAGAGAAGTCTCAAGACTTTCTAACTTTCAAGATTGAGATGATTAGTTTTGAAAACTCAAAATAAATATATCCCAGTATCTTTATGTACTTACTAATAGAGACTTAAAGGTAATAAATAAGATTCGTTTTCTGAATGTTTGTAGCACATTAATTTCTTCGGGACTGCTTAACCTTATATGCAATTGAATAACCCTTATATGCATTTTGATATTTCTCTAGGCCATCACATAAAATGTTTTGGGTAGCACATAAAAATTTAGCATGTCACCCTGGCTGGTGTAACTCAGTGGATTGATCATGGGCCTGTGAACCACACGATCGCGGTTTGATTCCCAGTCAGGGCACATGCCTGGGTTGCAGGCCAGTTCCCAGCAGGGGACTCACGAGAGGCAACCATACATTGATATTTCTCTCCCTCTCTCCTTCCCTTCCCCTCTAAAGATCAATAAATAAAATATTTAAAAAATTAGTATCTCAATATATTTAATAGAATTCTCCTTATTCTTTTAATGAATGGAAACAGAAATTTATTTGGTTCACTTCCACAGTTTGCATTTCTTTTCAACTTGCTAAATTCTACAGTATTTTCTTTAAAAAGACAAGATACACATTGCTTCTTTAAAAAGACAAGATACACATTGCTTTCTTTAAAAAGACAAGATATACATTGCAATTTACTGAAATTGCTTCAGTAAATCAGATATACTCCCTGTGATTCTCTCAATGACTTTTGAACTATTATCTAGATATTTTCCATTTGATGCTATGAAAAAAATCAATAACTCTTGCACACATGCCGAAGTTGTTTTTTAACACTGGAGTGTGGTTGTAGAGGTCCTTTCCCTACCTCTTGCTCTGCCTCTTGCTGCAGGACACCGGTCCCACCCAGCAGAGTTGGGACCCGTTTATGTAGTACAATGTGTTACCTCACCAAACTGATCAAAGTGCTTATTGTGAGGACTCTTTTATGAAAGCCAATTGGATAGGATTAATAAATACTGGAAATAATTTGAATAATCATTGACTGTTATCTTGGGTAACACATGCACAAGCCAAGATCCTAGAAACTTTATGTGCTGCGGTTATAATACATCTTTAAATCACACTGAATATTTTTTTTTCAAGTTTTTATTTTCCACTACAGTTTATATACAATATTATTTTGTGATACTTTCAGGTGACACATTGAATACTTCTTGTAATGCAGTCTCATTTTCATTTCAAGGAGCCCAAGTCTGCTTCCCATTTTTTCCTTAATGGAAGAAAGTTAAAGTTTATAATGTTGATTAGAGGTAATGACTAGACATGTCAGAAAATTTTTAAAAGATGATATGGTTGCCCCTAAATTTAAGGCACATTCACAAAAAATATTTCTCTGTTCTTCAGTTTTATTAGTCTCAAAATAGTTAAAATAATCTTTTTTTATATAATTTAAAACAATGTAATTATTTTTAATCTAAAGGATTTCTAATAACTAATTTTCAACATTGTCAGATGTAATATGTTTACTTCAAGTGTTTTTGTAGTTACAGTTTTGGAACGTCATATTTCCTAGACAGGAAAATAAGTCATGCCCCTGAGGCCAACAGAACATAAAAGTGGGTCATACTAACACGCATTCCACACAAGAAACTCTGGCAATTTGACCCAGTGCTTCTAGGAGTCACCAAATATCCCCTGCACCAGTGACAGAAATGTTTTTTAAAAATCTTCAAAAGTGAACCTAAGACAGCTTTCTGCCTATAATGAGGAGAGAGTTCTCCAGTGCAAAGAAAGACCTGCTTAATTTTGGTATATACAATATAGAACTTATTTGATTAAGTGTTACAATTTATTCAGGTAAAATCAGTTGTGTAACATATGAATGTGTTATAATGTTTTTAAACAGTTATTCACAAAAGTTCATTTGAGGTAAATGATCGTTCAAAAGTCAAAAGCATTTGCCTTTGGTCTTTATGTCAATTTAAAATAAATAAAAATAATAATCCAAGATAGAAAATTTTTGTATAGGTAAGTTCATCATTAAGTCCTAAATCTATTCATTCTAGATATACTTATGATTTAGGTTTTCCTCAGTAAGTGCAATATAGGCTCCCATAGCTTTGCTATAGTAAGTTATGTTTTGACTTTCAAATTTTGTCTTGATATACCAGAAATTTTACTTACCTTTCCACAAAAATGCCAGCTTGAACAGCATGCACAATGCTCCGAAATTTTGGTTTTTCCTCTGATTTCTTTTTCATCATCCCCATTTTCCGTGTAAAGGTAGAAGCCAACCAGTCCCGGACTTCCAATGGGACCGAGTCTGACTGAATGTCGCTGAGCTCATCGTCGGTATCCAGCAGTCTTCTACAAAAATTTATACCATTAAAACTTTAGTAAAGAGTTGAGAAAATAACAATGAAACAAGCATCACTTTCTGATCCTTTTTGAAATGAACTATCTAAAAAAGAAAAATGATTGGATTACCATTTGGAAAGCTCTGACTTTCTCAAGTCAGTCACCCTCTCAAGGTGAGGACGAATGGGTTGAGCACTGAGAGATGCCCGATTATCTAAGTACAATGACACCAGTGTGGAGGCATGGACTGTTCTGTCGTTAACGTACTATCTTAGTGATGAGCGCAACTCAGTTCAGATCCAGAAGAAAGCCCATAAACAGATGGCTACTACTAAAGGAAGCAACTGGAACAGAAAGAATAAAGGGGGTGAAAAGCCATCAGAGTTGTTGTATATTTAATGATCTTGTGCACATGTAGTGCAGACAGTACATACTGTTTCAATAAGGCCTCGGAGTTTATAAAAGTCATTTATATGGCTTTTTCATTCGATTGATATTGCTAAATTCTAGGAGAATAATAATTCAAGTATCTTAAGAGAGATTAATACTGATATCAACATCAGTACTGATATTGTGAAAACAATAAAAACAAATGGATTATTTTGAAAACTCATTTTAGGTGACCATGCCAGTGTAAGTGGAAGAGAAACACCTCCAGTTAGTAGAAAATACCGTCTTCAAGGTGGAGACCTGGGGGGCTTTACTCCTGACTGAGAAAACCAACCGAGGGTGGGAGGAGCTCCGCAGGAGCTGGAACCATGGCACTGCTACTCTCCCGGACAAGCTCCCGATAGACAACGTTGATGACTTTATGGCTGTGTGTCCTAAACTCAAAACAGCTGTCAGTAAGGCTGATCAGCTGCAGCAATCCAGCACTTACTAAGTGTCTAAACTGGCAAGACAGTGTGAAAGGCTCCCCACGAAGCACAGAAACAGTTTTACAGAGCAATCTGGCTTTGCCTCCAGGGAGAACACAGCCCAGCTCTGCCTGTCGCTTGATTTGGTTATTTCCTCATTAGTGCACCAATTTAATAACTCAGAGCTATTTTGGGCCCACTTTAGATTTGACCTTTGGGTTCCATTTGCTTTGGTAAATCTCTTTGCACAGAGTGAGGCCTAAAGATTACGAGCTGGTGGAAGGAAGGTAGCCAGACATGATAGAGAACATGTGTTACATTATCCAGAACGAGTCATACACCACCTCCAAAGAAACCAAGGGCAAAAAAAGAAGGGAGATCACTCAAAGCACCCTATACAACTAAAAGAGGCTCTAAAGACAATACACCTCCTCTATGTGTTGCCATTTTCTGGACACTTTCTGATTACCATCATTTGCCAATATTTATTACTCCCGGAATGGATCGTGAATGCATTTACAAAATAACTAATGAAAAAATATATAGAACTTAAGTGCTAGAGTTACAAAGCTGCATGTGTACATATGAAGACAAGAAAGATTTACATAGTTGGTAATTAATGCTGATTAATACTTACTTCGTATCATCTTTAACTTTCTTTCTGGTCTGAGGTTTGGATGATTTTGATTTACCCACACCCCAATGACAGCATATTTCAAAGCAAAATATTTTTTTTCTCTTCTTGTGCATTTTAAATTAGATTCCTCAGCCAGTTGCAGCAAGATAATACACTACATGGTTTTCAGGCCTTGTGCCATTTCTGTTATTTCTTATGTAGTGATCTGATAAAACCATAGAGTAGAACATGTGGAATGGGGACCATTGTGGTATAACACTGTGATGTCACCGCACCCCAAGAATTCTACTGCTGCCTTGTTTTATCAACTACTCCAAGTAGCATGACAGATGACTACTCCTTTGGTATTGATGACTTCATGGCTGTATGTCCTAAATTCATAAAATACTTAAGCAAGGTGATTAAACATGACAAAAATTAGCATATGGAAATGAAAGTTCCCATAGTGGTATGGTGCTCAGGGTCTGGCAAGAGTTCATTTCTTTTTATTGTTAATAATATTCTACTGCATGGGTGTACTATTCTTTGTTTATATATTGTACTATTGAAGGACATCTCAGTTGCTTTCAAGTTTTGGTAATTATGAATAAAGCTGTTATAGATATTTGTGTGCAGTTTTTCAACTCATCTGAGTCAATACCAAGGAGTACAATGGTTGAATTTTCTAGCAAGAGTGTGTTTAGTTTTTTAGGAATCTTCCATACTGTCTCCCATTTTGCGTTTCTACCAGCAATGAATGAGAATGGAATGAATTTCCATCATCGTCTCTGGCTTTGCCTACTTAGCCTCAGAACTGGCCCCCTACCTCTTGTCCTAACCTCCTTCAGTTTATTCTTTCTTCTGCAGCCAGTATAACTCTTTTAAGGTATAAATCTCATCATGTCAATGCTTTATTCATGAAGTCCTACATAGCTCCTCACAAGCTCTGTTTCCATCTTCATCTCTTAACCAGTCCCCACAAGTCATTTTGCCCTAGCAACACTGGCCCCCTTGCTGCACTCAAACCTGCCAAGTTTGCTTTTGCTTCAGGGGTTTTGCACTTGTGGCCCCTTCTGCCCGGAATCTCTTAACGAAATTTGTGGGGATCAATGCCTTGATGCATTCAGGTATAAAGAGCTTCTCTGATCCCCCTACTCAACTAGTAAACAACTGTATTCTGTCTTTTTATCCTGCTATAGACTTCTTTGCATTTACCACAACTGACAGCATGCTATATGCTCTTTAGTTTGTTTATTCATTTTGTTTCATCCAGTAACTGTAAAAACCTTGAGAACAGAGAGCTCTGTTTCTTGCATTGTTGTATCAGCAGCATCCACAACAGTGAGTGGAATAGATTGGGAAATCAATATACACCTGGTAAATAACTAGTAAACGTCTGGAAATATTTATACTAAACTATTACGAATGATTGCTTTTGGCAAGTAGAATGAGGACGGAGATGGTTGAAGCTTTGGTTTTTAGGTCCTATGTTACATGATGGATAAGGAGCAGTAAAATGCTGTGAGTAACTCACTGCTGGCAATCATCTCTTCATTGCCTTTCTGTTAATGTGCCCTTGAGCAACCCACTTACAAGTTTTGAAGCAAATGATGGGGAAACATACATTTGACATGGAAAAGATATTAAACTTTGTATAGCATTTTGAATTAAAGTTACAGGAATTTTAAAAATTGTATGCATTGTTACATGCCTTTAGCAAAGGATTCATTATACATTAAATAAGAACTATTTTATGCTTACAGAGCAGTATAATAAGAAATTCTAATGAAGACTCAAATAGGCTGCAGAAGATTTATTAAGATAATTATTCCAGTTTGGCAGGAAAAAAGTTGAAGCACAAGTGGATAAACCTAAACTTAAACAAATTAAAAATAAACTAATATACCTAGTGGTATACATTTCTCCTCCACCACTTTATCCTTCCTTATTTGTTTTCCTTTCCCTGGCATCTGTCTTGTACATTCTGTGTTCCTCCCTCTGAACATTCCAAAAACCCTTCAGGTTTCATTGGACTATGCCAGATGAGGTAGGAGTAAAAACTACACTATAATATAAAATAGTAATTCTGGAATTCTATCAGAGAACCATCATAAGTAATTTTCCTATATATTTATCTAAGCCATTTGAAAATATCTGAATATTTACATAAGATCATGTCATATGTAAAATATGTAAGACTACAGTCTGTCCTTATTTCATTTTTGAAATAAATCTATGAAAGTAACCCAATTAAGTGGAACATGAAATACTATAACGAATTTTGCTTCTAAAACATCTAACAGCTTTATTCCCCTTTATCCTATAACCTTATGTTAGATAGCAGAGTGAGCATAATTCTTTATAGTGTGGTGCTCTTACAAAATTGAAGACTTTATATTTAAAAAGTTAACAACATAAAATAATCATTGATGCATTTTCCTTGGAAATTCTTACAGTGCACTACATAGAAGAGAATGGTAAGAAATATATGTATAAAACATTATCACTGTTGACCTTGGAAAAAATGCTTCCACTGGTGTTTGATGCAACTTTTTTCTATAATCCCAATGGAGTCAATAAAACAAAAGGTGAGGGGTCCCTAAATATGACCTGTGTGTTTATGGGGGGCTGGAAAGCTGTGAAAATTGATTCTGCATCCAATCAGTGCTCAACTGCTTCTTAGGAGATATTTATATCCCGAATTTTCTCTTGAAATCAGATGACACAACTCCCCAAGGGCTTGTATTTTAGACTAGAAAGTCTGTAGGGGAGGGAAATAAAGGAGGCGGCCACAGAAGGAGAGGTCATGGGATTTTGACTCTTACAGTTTTATCAGTGCAAATATTTCTTTGCACAGTGGGCTCTTGGAAAACGACTCTACCCATGCATCCACCCACATGGTTATTTCTAGGCAATTGGTGCACACATTTACACTTATTAAGCATTAAAATTCAAGTGCTGAGTGCAACTGGGAGAAACTGGCCTCTCAAGTTTGAAATTTTCTTCTTCCTGTTTTACTATTATTATTAAGAACACATTTCAATAAGCACCTAAGTCATTTAATTCTACCCCTGACATTTGCTGGGCCCAGGACAGGAGCATATTTCTTCCAAATATAATATAGTTAAATAAAATTATGTATCAAGTGAATAAGGTGTTCAATATGTTCTGTCCTCCTATCTTTTAATAAGTTTCATGAAAGCTTGCCAAGTTGAGTCTGAATGGAGAATTCTCAACTCCTGTTGAGAGCACTGGGCCAGCTGGTGGTGGCTGCCCCTCCCTCTGCATTTACCTAACCTTCTGCTCAGGAACTCACTGTAGAAGCAGGTGGACACTGCAGCCTCAGTATCATTTCCATCAACCTGCCCAGCCTTGAAAGCAGATGCTTTTTAGCCACTCTTTAGGGGCAGAGAGTTACACACACCAAAAGTGTCTGGTGTCACTTCAGGAGACAAGATCAAAGGAGGAGTCCCATAAAGACTTAAGAGACCACCTAGCGTAGGGCTGTGTAAAACTCATTTTCAACAGGAACCACA